CTTCAAAATCATGTTTTGTTTTTTTGGTGTTACATTTCCATTTCTGGTATACTAAAGGATATACAAGACCAATAAAAGGTTGTGGGACTAGGTGTCCTGCACTATATATTGGATTCTTTATAAAATTTTCGTCGTGTGGCGCAGCACGTGATGTCTTTAGATGATTCGCACCATACATGGTTTTTTATTTTCGTGTATTGATATTTTGTTTTATAAATGTCCTGGTGTGCGTCTTTTATTATTTTATATAAAATATTGTTGAAATCAAAACGCGGAGCAGAGCTTGTAGTGTCTCTTTTGGTAATTATTATAGAAATTTCTTGATGATAATAAACGACTGGTATCGTTTTGCTTTTTGTATAATCAATGTTAATATTAAATATATAATTACAAGATGCCAAGGCAGGATAACTGTTGAAAAGAAACAATTCGAGAAGAAACATTTCGATATGTGACGTTTGATTATCTGAAATTGAGAAGCATTGAAGCACATATGCTACTTGAACGCTTTACAGTCATTCTCACGTATTCCTCGTGTACACAAGGCTAATCTGACTGCACACCCCCAATGATATGATGATGCAACCAAATTCCAGGGGGGCGCGTTGCTCTGGAGTTTACCGAGATTGCTTCAACGTCAAAAATGTTTCTGCGAATTTTATCTAATCTTTTCTCACACACCTGGACTGGCGGTTACCCAGATGACTTGCAACGATCCTATATACAAATATATAAGAAAGGTTCATAGTTTTTTATACAAACAATTTCCTTATTTGTATTTCTTTGGTCAAGATTGACAAGTTTTTTCATAACGAACTGAACACAGACCTTCCATCCAAACTTAACTTAACGTTAAAGACCTTCCATCCAAACTTAACTTAACGTTAACTAGAGTGACAACAAGTGGCGATAACCACCATTCTTATAATAAACACTTACCCTTTTTCTTCTTCCAAAAAATTATCTCGGTTTCTTTTTGTTTTTTTATTAACTTAATTGAAGACATTTTTTGCAGAAGAAAAGAATTGTCATTTGATCAACACGTACACATTAATTCGCAATTTGCCAGAAACGGAAAGAAATTACATAATGCAGATTGGGGCAAAATTTCTTGATTTTATAATAAAATAATTATTATCACGTAACTTCATCACCTGCTGACACAAAACCTTGTTATGAAGTATCATGTTTGTGCCTAATAAAAAATGTTAGTATAATCTATAATTGTTTATTTTATTAAGAAAGTATATATCTATTTTCTACCTGTCAAATTTAATTTCCGAATCGGCTCAGGATTATGGGTAAAAAAACATACTATTAAAATAAATTCACTTATTATGATTTACTTGAGAAAAGTAATAAAAACAATAAAAACTATTTATTTAGTTATTCTATTTGTTTTTTAGCAACTGCAACCTTGTGCTGTCTGGAATACCTACTAATCCAATTTTCAATTGTACTTAATTTTGGTCTGTCAATTACTTCCAACTCACCTACTTCCACGTTTTTTTTCAATTCTTCAAGCATTTCTTTAGGTGTATATCGTTCACTTTTACATGCATCACCTGTATGAAAAAAGGTCTTTAATAACTCAACTACTTTATCGGACATATGTTTTCCACCACCTTTCTTTCCAAATTCCTGGTTTTCTTTTAAAGCCCAGCCAAGCGGGAAGTAATTTCTATATAGATAAATGGACATAAATAATTTCTATATAAATAAATGGACGCATAAATAAATCATTAGAGTTTCAACACAATCAAATTTCCCAAATACCTTGTTGCTATATGTTTTTCAGCATTATCAAATTGTTCTTCTATAATAGATAAGTCTTTTTTTTTTTTTTTTCTTGGTTGTATATTATCTATATCATCTTTATCATCCACTATTACATCTAAGTCCATTCTTTTCTAGATAATAAAAACATAATTAGCCAAGGTGGTAGATACTTAGAAAAATAATTTTATTACCTTCTATTTTATTATCTGTTTCAAATTCAATGTTTGCTCTTAAAAGTGCAACTAAATCTGATTGATTATTTTTTTCATCATAATTTAGGCCTCTTTGATCCAACATTTTTTTAATATCATCTTTCTTTAATTTATCCAATCCCATACCTGGTTCTAAAAAATAAGTGGTAATTTGAGACATAGATTTTAATGATGATGTATTTTAATATATTTGAATATGGAAAATAAAAACTTTTTTTATTTATTGTTTTATTTAGAAGAAATTACTAATTCAAACCTGTTGATGGCATTGGTGTTATCCATTGAGCCTGGGAGTCAGTATGTGTGGAAATTTGAGGATTTGGCCTATGTTGTTCACCTCCCTTCATTGATTTACAAATGTTTTCAGGAGAGAAATCATTCCATTTTCCAAAATTTGGAAAAGCTCTACCATGAACAAAACCAGAAAACTCTCCTTCAACTGGCCATTGGAATTCAAACCAATTTGAAATTCCAGGAATTATAGGTTTTTTTTCTTCTTTGTGCTTACAATCAGGCTCAATATTTGCAATTGATGTTCCTTTAATCTCTTTGGCAGCTTCTACTATATCTTGTCCTTCAGATATATTATGTCCAAGCCTAACATATCTTTTAATTGCATGTGATACCTGTGGAATTAAGGGAAAGATAAGTAATTAATTTTATTTATAATAAATTTATTATTAGCAATTAATTATAAACCTGAGCATGATGTGAATCTATTGTTGTTTTGGCTTCCCCTGCTTCCAAAAAGGTCCAACTATGAACATCCACCTCATACCAAATTTTCCAATTTGCAATCATAGCCTTCAATTCGGAGCAATGATAATGTGCACCATTATCAGATAGAATTTTTATCCATTTTGGTTTTTTTTCAAGGGTGTTAAATACAACTTCAAAACATGAGGCAGTAAACCAAGCATCTTGGGCTGTATCTGAGGACCAGTGATCAAAAGCTTGAATTTCTAAATCATTGTTATGTTTGGTGTAAACTAACATTGAATGTAGAGTCCATCCAGATTTCCCATAAAAATCAGATTTTGCTTCACGAGCTGACTGTGGTAAAATCTTCATTTTATAATCAACTACAATGATTGCACCCTCCTCATCAAGAGAAAGCAAGTTAGCATTAAATTGAGCATTAAGGTATGTCTTTCTTGCCTGGTGTGACCAATAATATTGAAGCTTATTTCTGTTATTAATAATTTGTTCTAAATCATTTGGCATAACCTGCATTAGTTTATGAAACCATTTTGATATCTTATTGCATTGGTTACAGTTAGAAATATGGGGATTGGTACATTGTCCAAAAGCATATGGAAGACAATGCTCAAGACATTCAACATGATAAGTATTTCCTAGGCAATCCACTTCAAGTTCTTGTCATATTCACATTTTAAATGACGTTGGATTGATTCAAGTTCTGCAATTAATTGATTCTAACAATATATGAAATTATTTCAGTATTTGATTGTTAAATATAACTATTATAAAGCATTTACTCACCTGATGATCTTTTTCATTTATTCTCCCTGATATTAGGATTTTCACATCATCAAATACACCATACCCATACTCAAAACAAATGCCACACAAACCTCCCATATCTTCCTTATATAGTTGGCTCGGTCTAAAGACCTAAGTTTTGCATAAATTTTAAAAGTATAGAAGTCACTTTCTGTCCTATCTTTTAAAAAAATAACGTTATTAGTTGATAGAATAGGTCTTTAGTTTTAATGTAATAATGAGATATTCTCAAAAAAATCATTTGTTGTAGAGTTCTATTCTTTTTTAGAACATGTACTTTACTATGTTCATGAGAAATTTGGCCGCTAGGATCATTACTAAATTTAGACCAAACTACAAAAATCATTTCTAAATTTAGACTAATACATGACCATCATATCTAAATTTGGCAGTACGAAATAAATTTTTAAACCCAAAATCACGTGAAGTCCTATTTTCGAAAATTTTTATTGCATTTTTGAACAAATTACAAAATTGCTATTTTTGAAATTTGGCCACGTGGCGCAGAAATAGGAGGTCTTTAGACCGAGCCAACCATATGATTTTAATTATACAAATGATCCAAAAAGATTTTAAATGCAATTGTTACGAATGTTATATTATTCCACATCATAACCATCAGAATGCTTTTTTTGTGAATAGATTTATTTTTTAATTCATTATATGTGTATTATTGCTATTTAACATAAAATGTTAAACAATATAATTCAATAAAGATTAATGATAGAGTTGTTAATGAATGGATATATAAGAAAATAAATTTACATCTGAAATTGACAATTTGTTGTTGTGTCATCTAATATGTTTCATCTATATGTTTTCAACTAATATCTGAACATTTAAAAGATACTAGCAGATGGTCTTGATTATACATGCAGCCCAAATTGGTTTGGTGATTTCAATGGTCAAAATTATTCCAATTTTGATGGTAGAAAGTAGAAATTAATTATGGCACTCACTATTAAAAACATAAGTGTAACACCCCTTACTACACGTGTAACCCCCCTTTATGACAGTGTCAATACTTTGGGCTGCATGTATAGTCCTTGATGTTCTATTCACTAAAGTTCAAAGAAAAATTATCTAAAAAGCCAATGAATGAACTCCTATTACATAAATTCTTTAAACGCAATAACATGCTTTCTACAAACTAACAGATAGTTGCAGATTTGAATGGATTACAAGAAAGCAGGTTTGGTAGTAGTATTATAATTAGGATTTTTATAAAGCATCATGTTAACTCAATTATATATGAATTGATTGACATGGGTTCTAATTTTTCTAGAATTGATTTCCAAATTTGGAAAAATCCTGTCTGTATTTGAAACAATGCTTGTAACTTGTACATATGAACAAGTCCTATTTCCATTGTCAAGCCACATATGAAGCATTATATGTCAGGATGACAATGACGGCCTATTTCTGTTGTCAAACCACACACAATGTGTTATATACCATCTGGCCTATTCATGTCATCAGGACACACTTGAGAGCCCGTTGTGGGGACACTGCCCAAATTTGGCACATAGTGATCTAGCTGGCATGGCCGGTTTCATAAAGTTGGCCACACATGAAGGCTTTTCCTGAGCTGGATACAGAGCATCCTAGTATCCTATTGTGTTTTCATGATTTATTTTTAATAAAATAGACTTTCGTGATCAAATGGTGCATTGATGAGTAGTCTAATAAATTTATACAGGTTATGCATGTTTTCCATAATATTAAATGGATTGGCCTTACAAATAACATGTATATGTAAATTGTTAATCGATTTAGTAATTTATTTTAGTTTTTCTCAACTATTTAAATTTTAGTACTGTTAATCATTTTATTTATTGTTTTATTTTAATGTTCGTATATTTGTATATTTGAAGGAGAAAGGAAGATAAAATTTTATATTTAAAATGTTGATTGTTCATTTGTTTGTTTGGTTATATATAATTATAATTATAATTTAATATATACTGTTATTTAATTGTTCTATTATGAAAAATGGTTATAAGTTTATCATTCATCTTTTTTGCTACCCAAAATATTGGAAGTTTATAAGGAATTAGTGGAGAGAATTTTAATTTCTTGTTATTCCTTGGCATTGGTGAAGCATTATGGGCCATTATTATATACTAAATATAATATAATATTTGTTAATGCATTAATATTATCTATTATTATAGATGAATTTACTTACAATAGGAAATAATAAAGCAAATATTCCAGTACTAAAAAACACATCTACAAAAAATGTTATAAAAGTAAAAGTAAAACCTAATAATAAATTAATAAATTAATATTAATTAAAAAGAATTTTAAAGAGATTAAATTTTGATAAATACCAAATCCTGCGAAATAAGCCCATTTTTCTTCAAAATAATCAATTCTCTGTTCTAATGACCAACCTTTATTTATCCATTTATATCTATTTGTTGTTTAAATATTTCAATGATAATTGTTATAGTAATTTCTCCTCAAGAAAAATAATAAGAGTAAAATAAAATTACTTACTCAAAACTATAAAATGAATAAATCCAACAAAAGTATATAAATGAAAATAATGGACCAAATATTGGTATAATGTAAATGATTGTTGAAAATATTAAATAATTCATAAATAATATGGTCCTATATATTTCATCTGCCATTGCTTTCAACAATTTATCATAATTAAATTTGGAATTAATTGTTTCTCCATATTGTAATTTATAAATACGATTTGCAATATCTTGGTACCACATTGAATTTAATATAAAGCTTAATAAAAATATTGGGTAAACCCAAAATAACTATTAAATAAAAATAAGTAAAAGACAAATTAATTATAATAAAGTGAAAGAATATGTATGTGTCTATTTATTAAATACCTGATAAATCAAATTCACAATTGAATCTAAAAAACTTGAAATAAACAGCGAATGATTTTCTCCTCCTTTACTATTTAACACTGGATCTCCTAAGAAAAAATGGATTATTGGCAGTGTAAAATTCTTGAAAAAAAATATACTTCCTAGAAAAATTACTCCATTCAAAGTAAAACATTTTAACGTTCGATTTCTAAGTGTATTAGATCTAAAGAAATGATGGATGGATATGATTATATTGATGACGATGATGATGATGACGATGATGATGACGATGATGACGACGATGATGATTATAATAATCAATTTACCCGTAAATTATGAACAAACTTGAGGGCCAAGCAAATGCATCACAGAAGCCTCTCCAAAAATATTCTATGCACAGTTTAACATTCTCTTGAAATCCAAGTTGTCTATATTGCCTTTTCTTCTTTTTTGTATCAATATTTTCCATGATATTTATATCGCCACTACCACTATCATCGATACTAACATTACTAGCATTACTACTACCACTCCTATAGCTTATATGGCTTGCATCATAATCGCTATCATAATCACTACCATTACCATCATTATTAATATATTTTATGCCATTAATATCGTAATTACTGAAATTGCTGCTACTATTGCTGCTTTTGATACTATCAACACTTGTATTACTAGAAGTAGAATTTATCCTTCTTCTTCTCGTGACGTTTAACATTGTTGTTATTTATCGAAACATCCAATTTGAAATTAAATATTTTGATTAATTCACATTGTGCTACCTAAATAGCAAGCAATTAAAAAACTAGTTAATTTATAGAGCTTGTATAAACACCTTGGATTTCAAACGATCTTATAGATTAGTTTAAGATCGTTACTCAATAGAGTCTTAAAAAGCTTGCGTTTCAAAATCACCCAAAACATTTAATTGTTCAGCAGATTTTCATACATTCACACCTATTGTTATTTTTTATTTGGAAAAAAGTATTATATAAATAAATACGATTTCAAAAGACAACTTTCTATATGACCTCAAATATGATCGAACAGGGTCCTGGGTAAGCAAGTTACTTCCCAACTACATTGTAAATGGTCAGCAAAATATATATATATATATAGTAGCCATAAAAATTTTTAAACAGGATGTCATTGTTCAAAAAAATTGGCAAGATAGCAAAAAAGACCTAAACAACAAAAAAAATTTAAAATTAAAAGTTTCAATTCTTTTACTTTCATTTTCTAGTAATTTCCACTTGTCCATTGACGAGTCTGTATTTTCGGCTCTTTTGGAATGTGCTTATTCTGACCCAAAGCATCAGGTTATTGGTTATCTTGGAGGAAAATGTAGCATTGGCAAATCTGATATGATCATATGTCATGTTAGTCAATTTGTAGCTTTGGAAAGGTTAGTTTTCATATTATCTATACACGCGTGAATTTATATCTAAATACTTGTGATTAATTAATTAATTATAAATTCCTTTATAGGTGTATTCCTTCTCTACTGACTGACACAGTGAAAGAGATTAATCTGGCTTATGAAGAAACAATCAAAAAATTTAAGGATATGGGACTAATATTAGTAGGCTGGTATCGAAGGTATGGTGTTTTCAAAATTCCATCGATACCATTACTGTCATTTCATTTTATTAATATTGTTGGTGACTGTATTAATCAAATCCACCAAAACTCTTATTAAATGTGTGTTTTTATTTATATTGTAAATAAAAGTAACATCTCATCTAATTCTAATTCGATTATTACACAAGCTGATATTATAAAACAACAAAAATTACAAACACAAGTAAATGTCTTATTAATTTTAGTTTTATTCCTTTTATTAATACATCTAAGATACTGTGTAAATATACGTTTACATTTACATCTGATATACACATATTATTTATATAGCATCCAAATAGTGCTGGTATTATCATTTCAATATCTACAACAGGATTTCCCTCACTAGGTCCAAAAGGACAAATATCAGATGGAATAACTAACACATTTTGTATTTTTAGAACATCTGAAAATACCATTCTAAATGACTTTGATGCTATTAACACACCATCACAAGGTACCAAATCTAAAAATGGTAAAATATCGAAAGGAAAAGGCAAGGAGTTGCCTAAGGTCAACAGGGTAACATTTAGTGTAAATAAACAATTATATACTTGTCCAAGTGTTATGCAACAACTTTGTTGCGCATTGATGGTATGGTAACGTCATCTTTTTTGACAAATATTATACAAATACGTACATATATATTATATATGTGAAACACTCGAGACATTATATATGTGTAATATGTGTATATATCTATAATATTTGTAAACCAACATAATTACCTATATGTAAAATTCTTTATTTTGGAATGCAGACAATTCTTCATGAATCAAAACAGGTATATAATGAACAAATATTGGATTGCGAGAATAGAATTGGTCAAAAGGTATTCGTTGACTCACAATATGAATCGTTTCTTTTGAATTTTTTGAGAAAATCAGTAGTTCAGGTAATTTTGATTTATATATATTATTATCAATTTTTTAAAAAAGCAAGGTTTACTTACACACCATACACGCATATATTAGTTTGATAGGTCAGTGGATCAAGATTTTAGATCATTATCAATTGCAAAGCATCATGCTAAGATGTTAATAAGTAAACATTTGAATGAAACATTGGGAATATTACAACAAAATAAGATTAAAGATGAAAATCAATTAAATTTATGGCGAAGGAAGCTTGAAAAATTGATAGAAAATGTAAATATATATAAAACGCAAAGCATTGATTTGTTTTTTTTTTACATTACTTTCTTAATTTCTTTTTTTCTCTTTTTTTTGTTAATATAATAATTAGATGGCAATGCAAAGATTATCTAAAAAAGAAAAGGAAATGAAAAAAAATAATCCATCAGAGTTTGATTTAAATAAATGGCCTAACTTGACATCGTCACTAGAGAGTCAAGTTATAATAAATCAGGACAACACAATAAATTGTTCTAATACATTAATTGATAATAATGATAATAATAATGGCAATAATAATGATGATGATGATGATAACAATTTAATGTCTATAGATGCAAATGGTTCTGATACACTGTTAGGATATAAATTATCAGAAAATTTTAAAGAATTTACTATAAAAAAAAATGAACTTGATTTAATGAATGAAAAATCTGGTGTATCACAATCACATAATATAATTCTTTTGGATGATATACCCGAGGAGGAGGCTACTGCTGCCGCTGCTACTACTACTACTACAGACATTTCTTCTACAAATAACAAGTCTAGCACATTGGGTTTTAATTTAGAAACCAAAAATTCCTCTACAAATAATTTAACATCTACTACTACACCTATTGTTAATGAATTATCATCTTCATCTTCATCATCTTCAACTGCAGCTACCATAGAAAATCGTGTTATAAGGAAAACCAGTATTGAGTATATAATGTAAAGGATCTTTTATAAATAATAATAATAATAATAAGTAATAATAATAACAATAATAAATCTTTTTTAAACCAATCATAAATAAAACATTCGCATAAATTTAAAATATTTTATTTAATTGACCGTCACCGGATGATTAAAAAAGAGTGGTGTTAAATTCCTATATTGATCCATTTCTGAATTGGGTCCGGAACCTATTTAACGGATAAATTTTCAAAAACCAAACTTTTCTATAATTATTTTATCTCGCTTTAACGATTTAACGGATTTTCATCCTTGCCTTTTTTATTTTTGGATAATCTAATTTTATAAAGCGTAATGGACGTAATGTATTATAATAATAAATGCTGACGAATTTATCACGATTGATCAAATCTTGAATTCGAAGAATGATGGAACAAGAAATTGTAAACATTGTCTGGGACAACCTGAAGTTGAAGATAATGAGGGTGTCGATAAGATAAGTGAACCGATTGTAACAAGTACAGAAGCTATAAATAGTTTAGGAAATGCACTTAAATATACACAACAAAAAGATTTAGAAGTTGATTCTCAGATGTATTGAAGTTAAAAAGAGAAATTTCTTATAGAAGTACCCAAGAAGCAAACAATGTCGAATTGACGAATTTATGAGTCAACAATTACCGTTATTTATTTTTTTTTGTTTTTTTTACGTATATATTTAATTTATAGCACGTGATTTGATCATAAGCTTCGCTTTTGCGGATCTCTCGGTTTAGCGGATAAATTTTCCTGGGAACAAACATGTCCGTTAAACCGAGACCACTCACTGTGTATTAGTATAATAATAATAATAAAGTAATCGTACTGCGCCATTTTAAGTTACGTCATGAAAGTGATTTTCAATGAATTTACGTTACACGATATGTGCATAATCATTCAAAAATTTTATTGTCACTATATTTGTAAGCGGAAATATTCTAGTTCAATCTAGCTTAAATTAATAATGCCACGTAAGTACACGCGTAATTTTATATTATAATAATAATAATATTATTATTACGAATCTAATAATAATCGATTACGAATCTAATTACAAATCTAATAATAATCAATTACGAATCTAATAAAATAATTCTATAAATACGACCTCAGAAACTTCATCCTGTAAATATTCAATATTCAAACTTCAAATTATTTTAATAAAAAATAAAAATGTCTACAACAACATCCATAAAAGTTACCTATGATTCCATCTCTAGACGTTTCTCAATTCCAACCGATTCACCGAACTGGTTGGATTTAGAACGACAAATTCGTACTCTTTTTCAAATCCCTGCCTTAAAAATCAACGTATTTTATATTGATGAGGATGGTGATGAAATTACCGTTTCAAGCGATTTAGAACTTGAAGAAATCCTAAAACAATTTACTTATAATAATAAAAACAAACCTATAAAACTTGTTGTAACTACAATCGAAACATCTGATACATCTACCATTTCTACAACCAATGTTGTCACTACGGCTATTGATGCATTTCCAAATAAAATTGAAGATGAATCTTGGGTTATCGAAGGTGGTGTCAACAACAGCAGCAGCAGCGATAGCAACAATAATAGTTCTAAAGAAAAACAAAAAAGTATAGTCACTCCCTATAAAATGGCAGATAGCGGGGGCGACAGTAATACTGCTGCATCTACCGTAAATTATCAACATGTATCATTTGTTGATGAATCAGAAGAGGAGGAGGAAGAAAAAAGCCCATTATTTGTTCATGATAGAGAAAATTCTGAAAAGATCGATAATAAAAACAAGAACGCTGACATTGAAAATAATAATAAGGATGATAGTAATAATAAAAACCATGAAGCAGAAAATGATGAAGACAATGAATTTATTATTTATATTACTTCTGATCATCCTTGGCATAATTCATTTTTAGGATTAAATCGTGGTGGTTATAACAGATGTAATGGTAGATCTAATTTTTATGGACCACCATCACAATTCTGTAGACAACGATTCAATGAAAATGGAGCCCATAACAACAACAACTACAACTACAATAATTGTGGAGGTTTTTATAGACAACCTAAGTCATGTTACAATAGAACAGCAGAAGAAAATACTGATTTGTCTGACAAGGTCAAAATTTTAAATGAAATGGGATTTCCTGAAGCTAAAAATGCGAAACATGAAATTTTATTAAGAAAATTTAATGGTAACATTGAGCGTGTTGTCGAGGTTTTATTATACTGGCAACAAAATAATCATTATGATGCGAATAAACACGATAATCACAAAGAAAATAATGGTGGCAGTAGCACTAGCAGTAGTAAAGAAGTCGATGAAGTTTATTAATTGGTGTTTATTTAGATTTTATTTTTATAATTTTACTTATTTTATAATTTTATTTATTTATTATTATATTTTTCGAATTTTTGTTATTAAAAGTTTTTAAATAAAGATATTTTTTAAAAAAAAGAAAATTATTATTATTGCCAAAACTGAATTAAACCAATAAATTATCTAACCATGATCTGTGCAGGACGGTCAATGATTATCACATGACTTTGATGCTTATTTAAAAAGAAAAAGGAAAAAGATATAAACCAATAGAATTAAAGTTAAAGATCTAAATTTCATTTCCATCGATTTACTTTTTAGAAAAGTTTTGGGTTATAAGGCTTCAAAGTTAAACCATATTATGTCTATGTAAAACTGTAGAATGATCTTGTGATTTCCTAAAAAGGCTGATGATCGGGTTAAAACTTTTTTTTCGTATATTAATATAATAATAATACAGGAAATCTTTCCAGTAAAAGAAATTATTACTTGATTTAGGGAAATCTTCTAAAATTTTAAATTTCGGGCTATGACATTTATAGATGACACATACAAGATACGTTACACAGTTATCCTAACTATGCAAAGACGCGTAGTGGTGAATTCATCATATTGCTGTATTTATTAAAAAAAATCAACACAAAATTATTAATCAATTGATAACTTTAAAATGCCTCATAAAAAGCTTTACGGACCTTGCAGCGTTTTAAATTGTGAAAATAACAGCCCAAAATTTCGTACTTTCACCAAAGTGGCGTATAGAAAAGCAGTAGAGAAAGGCACATATCCTAAATGTAATTACTTGAAAATCGGTCAAGAGATCTGTTTCTCTCACTATTTATCAATTGTAGAACCAGATAGATCTATTAAATATAGAAAAAATAAACTTCCGAAAAAAAATCTTCCACGAGAAGCAATTCATTTATTAGGCAGTACGAGAAATGAAGAAAGTATTGTTGATTCTGGTAAGTTTCTAAAAAATTTCTAAAAAAAAGATAAAAGATAATTCTTATCTAAGAAAATGCATTATTATTATTATTGTTATTATTATTATTATTATATAATTTATAGAAAAAGTTGATGATGATATTGCTGTAAAAAATGAAAATTTGATCATGAACGAATTATTCCCTGGAAACTTTTAGATTTAAATAGATTATGATTAAATAATTTTTGTTATCTGAAATGCTATCATTTTCTTTGATATGTATGAATATATATATATTCAATTAAATGAATATTTTTCATAGTAATAATTTCAAGAAAATAAATATTATAAATATCAAAAAAGTATTACAACTATCAAATTAGGTGTAAATCAAGAAATTTACTAATGAGGTAATTTTTTCTTTTTTTATTTATTTTTAGCATTTGTATGTCTATAATTTCTTGTGTTAAATCTTCAATGCATTCTTAATATCATCATCAAATTATCAAATTCACACCACCATCTTTTGACTAATCTAAGGTTTGGTATATTGAAGAATCATCAAATGAACTTTTTACAAAATGACTAAAATTTTTCCTAATGTTTCTAAGCCCTTATATATAGGTAGGTAACTATGAATGACCACCAACTAGTAATATTAATAAGTGGAATTGACTATTTTTCATCACTATTTTGTGTTATCCCTAATGGAAATGAGAGTAAAAAAATATATTTATAATATTTATGATAACATTAATATAATTATTGTGAAGATATCGTTACCTATTAATATTAATCAAGATAGATTAGAACATTTTTTGATTTCACTTTGCAAGTAAAATTCAGAGATATTTTCTTCAATCAGTATGAAATGCAGATCTTATTAACATTTATTATGGAGATTCAAAGACTCAATTGGGTAAATATATTATGTACATATGTATGTATACATAGTATATATTACTTTATTTATGAAGTATTAAAAAGTAACACGCGCATATTATTATAGCTTTCGTCTCTACAAATCCAATTGTATTATATATATATATATTTTTTTTTTTTGGAAAAAGGGGATCATGAGAAAGGATTCAAAGTTTTCATAATGAATTAAAATCAATGAGATTGATGAGAGTTCCACTATACAAACAATCAATAATTTTAAATAGGAATCATATCAAATTGTATCATTCTAAGAAATAAAGTCATTTATCATACTAATGTTACTTTTAACGTAATCAATCACTTATCACACAAAACTTTTATGCAAAATTTAAAATAATGACATTTGGCAGAATATCATCATTTAACAAAATATCCATGAATTAGAATGGGTTGGACCACAATTACTATTCAGACACAATATTTCAACAAAATGTTTGAATAAAAAAAAAATACGAATTAAAATGCATGTTTATGATTTGTCTTGATGAAATAATTCTTAGAAAGAAAGATTTAACGATGTTTCAACAACTTAAACATTTTACAATAAAATGTTTAATAGCAAAATTAACAAATTGATTAAGCAAGAAACTTAAAAAGAAGAGGGAAATTCTGAAAATGAACAAAGTGAAAAAACTGTTTTGGAAATGCATGAAAGTGACCTTCAAGAAATCATTCAAAATGTATTGTATTATTTGATAAATTTATCGCTTATTAATCGATCTAAAAATTCAATAATTTCTACTAGAATCAAAATTTCAATTAGATGGTTATTATAAAGCC